AAAAAGCATTAAACTAGAAATTAGGAGATTAAAGTCTTAATTTTTCTGCTTCTGGATAAGTGAAATGTCGATTAAGCCATTTAAGTTTTTCAACTTCCCAAAGGTCATTCTGATGTAAAACTAGGTTGAGAACCATTTGATAGTGTGTGTGAAAGTACTATGAAACTACAGAGCTATATTATACACTGTAGGGAGGTTTTATTGATTTTGTAGACTATTGTCTCTTACTGTGTGTTCGGTGTTGATAAATATTCTTGAAGTAAAGGATCCCATGGCCAGCAAGTTTGGGAAACAATATTAAATACAGCTAAACATGTTTTTCAGGACTTTTCAGAGACTCTTACACACCAAGGTGTGTGTGGATCCCCTGGATGAAAGCATAGTATTCAGTTTTCTAAACTTCCTTGACCATAGAAAGCTATTTTTGAGAAGCATTTCATAGGACTATATACCATAGAGCTCACTGCCGTGAATATTCTCGATATCCTCCAGAGTAACCTAGGTTTGTTCTGGTTTAATTATCTACTAACTTGAATTGATCAGAGTTGTTCCGAGTTTCACATTACCTCTCCTGAGAATACCTCTGTGAGACTTGGCGTTAGCAGGTTCAGTGGTCAAACTTTCTGTTGTCATGTCAACAGAAAAGAAGCCTAAGTCTGTAAAATAATTGTGAAGAGATTTATTCTGAGTCAAATTTGAGGACCATGACCCAAGAAACCTTGAGCAAGTGGACTCGGTGTGGCTGGGTTACAGTTTGCTTTTATACATTTGAGGGAGACAGGGGTTACAGGTAAAGTCATAAATCAATACGTGGAAGGCATACATTGGTTTGGCCCGAAAAGGTGGGCCATCTCGAAGTAGGGTGGTGTACTTACAGATTATAGGTGGGTTTAAAGATTCTTTGACTCGTAATTGGTTAAAGACCTGAAGCTTTGTCTAAAGGCTTGAAATGTTTTAAGATAAAGAGGTCTGTTAATCAGAGATAAGCTACTAGACATATATTTGTTGTATAAATTGAGGACCTGGTTTGTCTTGCATGTCCTTAGGCCTGTTAATGGGTTACAGTGGAGTAACTCCAAGAGGGGAAGGGGGCATGAATGAGGCATGTCTGACCTCCCTCCTTGTAGCAGGCAATTTAGTTTAGGATATCCCTTTGGCCAAGAGGGGGTCCATTTAGTCAGCTGGTGTGGGCGGAAGCCTTAAGATTTTATTTTAGTTCACAGTCATTTAGGTCATTTGTGCAAATATTCAGTAGTGACTTGAAATTTTAAAAAGTAATTGCTACTTCAGTGGAGAATAAAGTCAAGTGTGAAAGCCTTTTAAAAAATTAGACTGAGAATTAGATTATTCCTTTGTCACTATTAATAGGCCTTTCTTTTTCTTTTTTTCCATCATCTGATAGGTATGTACTTCCAGTGAATTGGAGAAATGACACTGTCTGCTATTGTTAAACAGATTTCAGAATTTTTCAAAGCCTGTGTTCTAAATCATATCACAGTATTTTCACCGTCTTAACATGTACATTATTCACCAAACATAATAGTGTATATAGCATAAGATGGCTGTAAGACACTTCATTTTGAGTATTAAACAATGTAAATTAACACTGATTGAACCTTAGTCTTGTAAAATTGTAATTGTTGGGAAGGGAGATAAAAAATTAAATTTTTTCTTGGAAATTTTATTCGGTATCTAGTAGTAGCTATGATAAACCTACACACTACTAATATAAATTTAGGAATGAGGAAATCACCATATCTATCTATCTATCTATTTATTTAATTTCAGCATATTATGGGGGTACAAATGTTTAGGTTACGTATATTGCCTTTGCTCCACCCGAGTCAGAACTCTAAGTGTGTCCATCCCCCAGATGGTGCGCACGGCACCCATTAGGTGTGAATATACCCATCTCCTCCCCCCTCCCATCTGCCTAACACCTGATGAATGTTATTACTATATGTGTACTTAAGTTAAAACCATTTGATGGTGAATACACGTGGTGCTTATTTTTCCATTCTTGTAATACTTCACTTAGTAGAAAGAATGGGTTCCAGCTCTATCCAGGAGAATACAAGAGGCGTTACATCACCATTGTTTTCTGTGGCTGAGTAGAACTCCATGGCATACATATACCACATTTTATTAATCCACTCATGTGTTGATGGGCACTTGAGTTGTTTCCACATCTTTGCAATTGTGAATTGTGCTGCTAAAGACATTCTAATGCAGGAGTCTTTTTTATAGAGTGTCTTTTGTTCTTTTGGGTAGATGCCCAGTAATGGGATTGCTGGATCACATGGTAGTTCTACTTGTAACTCTTTGAGGTATCTCCGTATTACTTTCCACAGAGGTTGTACTAGTTTGCAGTCCTACCAGCAGTGTAGGAGTGTTCCTATCTCTCCGCATTCATGCCAGCATTAATCGTGTTGGGATTTTTTGATAAAGGCCATTTCTCACTGAAATCACCATATTTAAAAGAGAAATCCAATGATAGCCTCCCTTGCGTGTCACATTAATTTAATTCTTTCTAGGCTCTTTGTCAACATGAATTTTGAAAGGCAGTTCTCTGGATTTGTAGAAGGATACTTTAAGTTAGTTTTTTTTTTGTTTGTTTGTTTGAGACGGAGTCTCACTGTGTTGCCCGGGCTAGAGCGAGTGCTGTGGCGTCAGCCTAGCTCACAGCAACCTCAAACTCCTGGGCTCAAGCGATCCTCCTGCCTCAGCCTCCCGAGTAGCTGGGACTACAGGCAT